CTTTCGAACACTGGCTGTACTCATACTCACTTCTATTACACTGGTCCTGGAGGAGTTGAAATTTTTGTTGTACCTCACTTATTTAGATTCTCCTTAATCTCTTATCATTCAGCAACCTTTCCTCATTTAAAATCCATTCAATCTGAAATATCCGGTCCTCTTTTCCCCTCTCCTTCTCCCCAAGTAATTTTCTTTCTTTTCTCAAGGAGTTTAGCACCTGACTTACCATTTCCCTCTATTCCCTGACTCCTACCCATTTACTAGCAGACTTTAATATTCACATAGACAATAGATGCTCCCTCAAAATCCTTAACTTCTCAGTTTCTTAGCCTTCTTAAATTTCCACAACTTTTCATTCCACTGCAATTACACATATGGATAGTTGACATTCCCCTCAAGTGTTCCACTCCCCCTACTTGGAAATTCTGGACATTGTACTACTTAGCCATAACTTCTTATCATTCCAGCTCTTTGCCTTCGTTGATGCCTCCATTTCCTCTACCTCTCAGGTCATTACTCCTGCTCCTACTTCACTTTCCTATCTCTCCAGTATCAGCCCATGAGTTAGCTATTTCAGCTCTGCACTGTCAGTATGCCACTCCTTTCTTGCAAAGTCTCTGCTATGGATTACTCCAGCCATTTGTCTTCTCTGCTTTTACCCACACTCTTCTAAACTTGGCCAGAGGAAGCCTTATAGGCCATGCTAATTGGGTACGTTGCAAAATCATATTATCTCTTCTCTGCTGGGTTTTTGCGCCAAGAGGCAGTCCATTTATTCATCTGTAATTGATTCTCTCCCTACAGAAACTATTCCAAAACTTCTATTCACTTCCCATTTGCCCACACTTCTTCCTTCTCCACCTCTGTCTTGGCTCAGGATCTTGACTCTTACCTTACCAAGAAATTTGAGGCCATTTGGCATGAAATCCCTTTTCTTCCCTTTTGCTCTTATCTGCTGGTTACTTTCCTAGAACAATCAAACATAGTCAAATCTCTCCAATTCTTAAAAATCTTTCTCTCTACCTTAACATTCCCTCAAGCTACTGCCTCCTATCTCTCTACTCTTTCTCAGCCAAAGTCTTTAAAAAGAGATTTCTGCACTTATTGCCCCTACTTTTGCCATCTGGCTTCCTACCTTATCACTTAACTAAAACTCCTCTCTAAAGTTACCAGTAATCTCTTAATTGCTAAACCTCAGTCCTCATCCTTCTCAATCTGTCTACTTCATTTGACCCACTTGACTTCCCTCTCCTCCTGAATGCTCTCTATTCTCTGGGCTTTCCTTATGGCTTTCTCCTCTGTTCTCCTACCTGTATAACCATTCTCCATCCATCTCCTTTGACTAGTTCTTACAGTCTCCCATGTTGATAATCTGAGCATTATCTTGGACTCACTTTCCCTTATCTCACATTTCCAGTCAATAGCTATATCTTGTTATTTCTACTTCCCCAGTCTCTCATCTGACTCCTTTCCCCTCACATAGCTAGCTACCACCTTAGTTCAAGCCCTCGTCACTTCAGCCTAGATTGTTACAACAGCTTTCTAATTGGTCTCCCTGCCTCAAACCCCCTTATCATTCTAGTCCAGCCTATACACTGCTGCCAAAGAAATTTTCCTTAAAAGCAAATCTTAGTGTATGATTTCTCTTCTGTCAACTACAAGGACTTTCTGTTACCTCTAAGGTCAAATGGAAGTCACTGTTTAGCTTTTAAAGCCCTACACAATCTGGCTGCAGTCTGCCTTTCCAGTCTCATTGGACATTGCTGTCTTCCCACACTCCGCAGTCCAGCCAAACTAACCTCTCTGTTCTTCATATGTGACAGTGCGCACATATCTAGTCTCAAACTAACCTCTCTGTTCTTCATATGTGACGGTGCATACATATCTAGTCTCTGTGCCTCATGCCTGGAATGTAATCCATCCTCATCTCTGTCTATGTGGAGCCTTTCCTGATCTTCCTTCCCTCTCAGACTACTTCCTCATAATTAATTGTTTTGTGTATATTTGTATTTATGCTGTTTACGTTTTTATGTACTTGTTTTCCATTAGAATGTAAACTTCTCTGAATGCAGATTGAAGCATACCTTTTTACTTTATTATTGTTTTTTTTTAATCTGCACTTTCTTTTGTGACATGGCTAATATGGAAATATTTTGTATGACTGCACATGTATAATCTATATCAAATTCTCTTCTCAAGGAGGGGTAAGAGAGGAAGGAGAGAATATGGAACTCAAATTTTTTCAAATGATTGTTAAAAATGTTTATTTACACGCATTAAAAAATAAAATAAAAATTAAATGTTAAAAAGAATGTAAACTCATTATGAGTAGAGATGATTTTATTCTTTGAACTTGTATCACTAGCACCTAGCTTAGTGCCTGGCACATAATAGGTTCTTAACAAATGCTCTGTTGATAGATTGTGTTGGGATCTTGTTATTTACATTCTTGTCATTCCTTAGAGCATTTATATCAGCCAGTAGGACCCCTGCTTCCTGACATGTTCGAGTATACAACTTTAACTCCAGCCTTGTAGTTAATCCATCCTGGAGTCTCTCTGACACAGTTCAGCTGGAGTCATAGAATATTAGAACTGAAAGTTCTTAGTCATTAGGGAGTCCAACTCCCTTATTTTACAAATAGAAAAACTGAAATTCAGAGGAAGTAAGTGACTTGTCTAAAGATACATAGATAGTATGGGTCAAGAATCAGGTTGTGAAACCAGATTTTTTTTATTCCAAAATCAGTGGTTCACAACACCCTCTATCTCCTGGTCTTTCCAGCTGTTTACATGATTCCAGCCAGAGATCCTACCAGGCATAGACTTTATTATGGAATAACTCAAGGACAATAGTCCAAAGGGCAAGTTTATCACCAGTTCATAGTACAGGTTGTCCTTAAACCAACTGCCAAGTACATTCCAGGAAAAGGGGTTCACGTCAAAATAGTGTACTATAAATCTAACTTTCCCACAGAAATGTTATATTAGACAATGACACCTGATTTTTAATAGCAGTGACAATAAACACTCTGTTTTGTCAATTATAAATGGCAGGTGGCGTTAGCTTTTGTAAAGTGTAAAGAAACTACCGTCCTTGAGTTTACCCTTGCATGCTCAGGTAGTAAAGATCGATGGATTCTGTAATCTAGTCAAAGGTAGGCTCTTCAAAGGCAAACATGGCCTTAGTGTCCCTATCACCTAGGGCAGCCCCTTGCACATAACATAGCAAAAGCTTCACAAATATTTGTTTGAATCAAATTAGCCCATCATTTATCCCTCTGAGTAGATCAGCTGTGTACCTTTGTCCTGCAGTCAAGACTTTGTTTTGTGTCACTCTGGTTCCTTTATGTATCCTTTGTGTCTTACAGAGGTGATAAGCAATAGTGGAAAGAGCAGTGAGTTGGAGATCAGAAGGGCCTGGTTTTGAACTCTAGTTTAGCAATCGTGTGAACTTGAGCTACTTAAAACTGTTTGCGTTTTTCCTTTGTTAAAATAAAAAGATTGAATTAAATAACTCCCTGTCACCTCAAAATCTGTGATTCTGTCATTGTCTTGGTATGGCTTCTAGCCATCTACTTAAACTGTAAACTCCCTGAAGGCAAGGGTTGTCTTTTCTGGATTTTATACCACCCTAGTGCTTAGCACACAGTAGGCATTCAGCAAATGATTACTGAGTATGGTCATCACCAAGATATCTGAATTCAGGATTGCGTACCTCCATAAGGATAATTACACTAGGGGCAAAGCTTCAGTTTCTTTAGGCTTGAAACACCTACCAAGATTCCCCTTTCAGTTAGACTGTGCCATTAATGTAGGTTGAAAGAGAATTGTAGGCACATACATAAGTAAAACCTTTCCAGTACTAATGTAATGTGGCCCATTTCCTAGTAGAACAAACCTGATATTTAAAGCAGGATGTTTTGGGATGATTTTTCCACTCAGTGTAATCTGGATTTTAATAGCTCATCAAGGTAGCCCAGCTGCAGAAGTAAAGAGGAAATGTTCTCTAAGATAGAGATTTGAGAGGATTTTATTTAGCTGAATGGCTTAATTTCATCTTCTCTTATTGAAAGGCAGAAGGGTGTAGTGGATAAAGAACTGGCCTTAGAAACAAGCAGATAGATCTAGGTGGAAGTCCAGCCCCTGACTCATACTGCCTGGGCCATCCTGGACAAGGCACTTCCCTCAGTGCTCTTGACCAAAGGTGCAGAGAAGGTGCTGACCTGCAGGGGTGGAGGGAGTTTGTTCAGTTAGCAGTTGCTACCTGGCAACTGCTTATACAAGTTCGGTGACCACAACATTGAAGAATCTGGAAAATCAAGTCTTCACCAACAATGTGCTTGGCAGAGTCAAGTGGTTGCTCATCAGAAATTGATGTTTTATCTGGGAATAAAATGTGTGTTACTGCTTTGCCACTTACCCTGAGGAGTATGGGGCCTTTCCGTCTGATTTGCAGCTAAAACCAACTCCATGTGTTGTTGCTTCTGATTAGAAGATGAACTCCTTGAGAGCAGGGACCCCCTTTTCTGTTTGTATACTAGGGCTTTTTAATACAGTGCTTTGCACATAGTAAGCACCTGGTAAGTGCTTTTTCATTTATTCAGTGAAATCACAGGTCTGGGCTCTAATTGTTGTTGAAGGAAAAGGGTGTTTTAGATTTGAGTGAGTCTACAAAAGCTCTCTATCTAGGAACCAAACTTTGGAATAACTATAAAGAAACTAAGCTATTACATGGAAGGTATATATTTGGATAGCCCAGTAGAAGTTGAATTTGAATAACTGGATTATCATGATCATTGGAGTATGAATTTTTCCCCCTTTCAGATTGAGACAAGGTCTTAATTTACGCAAAACTCTTTCTTAAAGAGAATATTTGGTAATTGTGGATCTTGATGAGTGTTTGTTCTAGAAATCTTTTAGGAGATTTTTTTAAAAAATCTAATCGTACTATTATGCTTTTAACCATTTTTCTTAAATGTTCAATGTATTGTCTTTTAGGTAATTGAAGTTTATGACTTGACTAAAGTGAAGTTAAAATATTGGTAAGTCTTATTTAGAACTGGTGGATCATTCTCATGACAAACTAGTTTTGGATATCTGCTTTCCTTTTGTTCAGCACTCCTTTTCTCCCCAGCGCAGTGAGACCTGTCACATCTGTAGGATTTGTATGGGCTGGGCCTGTTTCTTCTTCAGGCCTGTGGTCAATCCCCCGAAACAGTTTTCTGAGCCGTTTAGGACACTAAACAGCCACCCTAGGGTTGATCATATCCATCAGTACATATTTCTTTACAGTTAATAGCATTCATTGTCCCTATAGCACAGGAAGGTCTCTGTGGGTATTCACATCCCTTCCCCTGGAGTTGCTGAGGATCTGCACATGTTTCTAGGTCAGACCAGGGACTAATGTTTACCATTTAGTATAATTATGTTTTCTTAAATATGGGCCGTGTTTTGTAAGACAAAATCCGTCTCTTAAGAATCTAATCTTCAGAGATAAGCCAGAGAGGTGCAGAGTTCCAAATAGTATTACTGAAATGTTTGCCTTCCTGTTCTCTTTTTACTTCCTGCCTGGGCCAGTATAGAGTTCTTTCCTCCCTTTTCCTTCCCTTCTCCTCTCTGCCCAAATATCTCACTTCTTCTCCTTCAGGCCCTAAGAGCCCTTCACTGAGTATCACTTCATAAGCATTTTCTTTCTCACAGATTAGCTTCCTCAAAATTCTCTCTCCCCTCCCTTTTTCTCTCCAAGTTTATTCCTAGTGGACTGTTCCAGTACCTGCTTTATTGATACATTCCCCTTTTAAAAATTTTCCCACCTCTTACTGGAGTAGTACAGGCTTTTCACACAGAGTAACAGCTCTATTGGCCTACCTGATGTGGCCTTTCTTCATGTCCCTGTGTCTACTATTTGAAATTCCACTAGACTGACACCAACTTATCCCTCATTCTGATGAGAAGTGATGTATAATGTATTACAGGAACTTCTGAAGGATAGCCTGTGAATACAGTCTTTGTTTTCTTATGCTTAAAAGTCTTGAGTAAGGGGCAATGTGTTACTCTGACTAGAGGCTTGACCTTGGAATTGGGAAGATCTGAGTTCAAGTCCTACCTCTGATACCTACTGGCTTTGTGACTTTGGGCAAATCACCCTCTCTGTGCTCCCAGCCAGCTTTCTCTCTGTTACTTGTGTGTATCATGTGAGAGGAATTGCTACATCAAAGAGTTCTTTACACCAAGGAACTCATGTTTGAACTATATCAAAAATAACTTTTGTAAGTGGCTTACCTTAATATTTCAACTCAGTTCTGAACTGGCATCTGTGGGTTATTTTGTTTTGTTTTGTCTAGGCAGTGGGGTTAAGTGACTTGCCTAGAGTCACACAGCTAATTAGGTCAGATTTGAACTCAGGTCCTCCTGAATCCAGGGCCTGTACTCTATCCCCCTGCCCCATTCGTTTTGGTTTTTAAAGTACATTTTGCCGTCACGATAGCGCATGAACTGTGAGGTTTCGTGGCTGTTGAAAAGGGCCTTTTTTGTTTTTCAGTGGTGTCCATTTTAACTCTCAGGCAATAGCACCAACCATTGAACAGATTGATCAGTCTTTTGGAGCAACTCATCCAGGAGGTAAGCAGTGCCGAGCAGAAAGGGCGTTAGTGACAACTCATGGCAGTGAGCACAGCAGCGATACAATTCAGAGCCTGGCAGCACTTAAAAACCCTCTCCTCGGTAAACCTAGAGGGGAAAGCGTGTAACAAAAGATTGTGTTTCTGTCAGGCGTTCCAGTTGATAACACACTCAGAGTTCTCATCTGATTCTCCCAGCGCCCCTGCGAAGTAGAGGAAGGAGTAGTATGCCCAGGACTCAGAGAGCTGCAGGGATTGGCCTAGGGCCACGATACCCGATCCAGGAAGCTAGTCCTGCTGCCATGGGCGATAGTTATCCTCCCCTCCGTGCCCAGCGCGTTTGTCTGAGAGCGGCTTCTGCATTCACATGGAACTCCCTTCTTTTTCCAGTGTACAACTCGGCTGAACAACTTTTCCACCTCAACTTTAGAGGATTATCTTTCTCTTTTCAATTAGACTCATGGACCGAAGCTCCAAAATATGAGGTCAGAAATTCTGTGTTTCTAATGTTGCTAAAATTGTTAGGAGTATATAGATAGCACATGACTTCAGAGAATTTAATGAATGAATATCCTGCCAAGAAAGACTTCTTTTTCATTTCTTTGCCTTTAAATTTTATATTATTATTTGCTCAGGGATACATGTTAATGCCTTTTAATTTATCTTACTTTAAACAGTAGCTCTGTCTTGAAAACTAGCATTGAATTCAGTGAACTCTTAAGGCCCCTTCAGCACTGTGTCCTATGATACTGTGTATAAAGGAGATGGTCAGTTTTTCAGGGATACTGCTGTTTTTTTTTCTCACCACCTGTGGATAGAAGTAGTTTCCTCATCTCATAGCGCTTTGTTCTCCTCTTACAAATTTTTGGTTTTGATCTTGTTTTAACATCTGTATGCTTGATCTCCCTCTACCACACCATGAGCTTAGGGACCATCTCTCCTTTACCTGTGTCTCCTCTATACTCAGGACCTTACGTCCAGAAGGTGCTTAATAAATGTTTGGGTATGGTTTCTCAGATTCATCTTGGGAAGACAGAAGGAGAAGTATATCATGTCCTTATGAAGTTCCTAAAGATTCCAAAGCATTGAGAGTACTTAAGGATAACTATTTCCTCAATAATAAATGGTAATATTGATGTGGCCAGCTTTAAGTAATAGATGAATTCATGAAAAGAAATTTAAAATAAAATGTTTTGGGGTTTGTTTTTTTACTATGTCAAAAGTACACCTCCCTGTCTCAACCACATATCATAGTGATTGAATGTAGAAGCAAATATGAGAGTCCATTTTAATTTAATTAAATGAGATTTCCAAAAATATGTAAAACAATGCCACTCTTCTCATTAATTTTAAATACATAATTATTTTTCATAAAAGTATATTATGTATGTTAAGGTATAATAAGTTATTGTTATTTAAAATTAATAAATGTTTTAAATTTTACCGTGGTAAATGTCAGTAGACTTAACCCACCTAAACAAAAGCTATTTGTGATACTCAGTAATTTTTAAGAGTTGTAAAGGGGTCTTAACCAAAAAGATTGAGAACCTCTGGTTCGAAGGAACACACCTCTAATATTCCTTTTGAGGGAAAAGGTAACTTAATTTTAAAAAGAGATAAGCGTCATTTGTATTTCTGAGTTTATATTTCATCCATTTTCAGATTTTGCTGTTATGTGGAGTGGTGCTGGTATTGTTAACTTTTGAATCTCAAAAGATGCCATACACTTAGTGAAACTTGTATTCTGTGTTTGCAGCCTAATTTTGCCCATGGCTTGGCTTCTCTTCAGATTCCCCATGGAGCAACTGTGAAACGCATGTATATTTACAATGGAAATAGCTTGCAAGACACCAGGTAAGCCAAGAAGGAGAAAGGACAGGTTACTTGCTCTTAGTCAGAAGACCTCTTGTTCTTCCCCAGCCTGGAGAGGCGATAGAATGAGAGCTGGTAGGGAACTTAGGAGCCATCTAATCCAAACCACTTCTTTTATAGATTAGGAAACTGAGGCCGATAGAGGTGGAATAATGTATCTAAGGCGACAGGCCCAGTAGGTCTGGTAGGAAACCAAGTCCTTTGACTCTGTGTCCAGCTATTTTTTCCCCTGTATATAATGCTGCCTTGATTCTATAATTTATTCAACAAACTTAAAAAAAAACACTTTATTTTTTAAGAGAAAAAAGAAAAGAGGCATTATATGATACAATACAATATACATTTATTAAATCCCTGTCGTGTACCAGGCACTGTGCTAAGCGCTAGGGAGACAAATAGGAGAAAGAGAAGCCCTGCCCTCATGGAGCTTGCCTCTACATAGGAAAGGACAATACACAAAGGGAAGCTGAAAAGGTAGGAAGGGGGTGGGCATGATGTTGGTAGAATGCCCTGGTTGGAGATAAAGAATTGGCTGTTGTTTTTTGCCCTGCCCTCTGGTCCTTCAGTCAGAGGGGCAGAGGTGAATTTCCTGATGATGAGCTTATCCTGGGAGAGCCTGATGCCAGGTAGCAGAGCAGCTGACAGGATGTGATAACGTAACTCTCCAAACATGACTGAGCAGTATGTGGAAAAGTCTTCAAAATATGTGCACTGTATTAGTGTACCTAGTGTATCATTTCAAGCCATGGTTTCTTTGTTGTTGTTGGCATTCCTGGCATTCAGGTTTTTGGTGATTGTTTACATTTACATTGTTGTAGTCATCCTGTGCCTTGTTTTGTTGGCTCTGCATCGGTTCACGTGATCCTTCTGGGCTTCTCGGTATTCCTCATCTGTCACTTCGAATAGCACAGTAATATACCATTACTTGTATGCATCATAATTGCATTTAGCCATTCTGCAAACCATGGGCTTCTATTTATCAAGTACCTTCAGGCTAGATGCTGGAGATAACAAAGACTGAAACAAAACAGTCCCTGCCCTCAGAGAATTTACCTCTTATTGAGGAGAAAGCAACACATGCCCAGATAAGGATGTTCAAAGTAAAGCCATATTGGGGGAAAGTGGAAAGCATTAATTGAGGAAATTGGGAAAGACCACTTTTAGGGAGTGACAGTGAGTTGAGGCTGGAGAGATGCATCAGGCAGAGAATTCTCCTCATCTTCCTCTTCCCGAAAAACCTACTGTTTCCTTTAGCATCTCTATTTCTCTTTATGTCACCCCTACCTTCTCGGGTCCCTCAGCTTCAAAATTAGAGCGTTATCTCTGCCTCTCCTTAACCCTCTGTCTGTTCAGGTTCCAAATCCTATCAGTTCTCTCTGCTTTCTCTCTCATAGCCCTCCTGTTTATGTAGTCTCACTACCCTAATTCAGGACCTTACTATTATAATAGCCTCCCACATCCATATTCTTGTCATATTTTATGAAGTTTGACATCGCTTAAATTATAGGGTTTGGGGGTCTTATATTTAAAGCAGTTAACATGTAAACCCCCCCCAAAAAAAAAAACAACTTTGATGCACATAGACCATGTTTATCTCATGAGCTGACCTCCACAAGAAATAAAATTTTACAGAGTTTCTATATTACATTGGTTATTATTATATATTATTATTATTATTATTATTATTATTGGTTACATTGGTGCTTGTGTAAGGGCCTGAGCCCTTACAAAAACCCCTTAAAAACAATTAGAAGAAAAGGTAAAAGTAAAACAAGCAACTAAAAATAGCAGAGACGGGGGTGGGGAGGGGGTACGGGGGTGGGAGGAGTGGAATAGCTAAAAGAAATAAAAAATAAAATAATAAAATTTTAAAAAGAAATAAAAAATAATATTTTCTTCCTCGGAGGACAAAGCACTGGGGAAAATCTTCAGGATGTGCTTGTATAGAATATAGTCTTGAGCTGCTGTCCTTCCAGAACTGTCCTTGACACTCCCCATGTTAGGAAAAGCAATCTGGATCTGATCAGAAAATCAGAACAGCCCACATGAGTTGTCTGGACTTGTGCCATTTGAAGGCAAGTAGTCCTATTCTAAAAGGAAAACAAGTCTTATACTTCTGTGATGGGGGTCATTCCCCTCAGAATAACTTCTAATAGTCTGTGATACATTCCCAATGGAAATGCGTTTCTGATTATCTTAAGGGTGACTAAGGTCAGAGAGTGGTCTGGTTTGGCTGGAGGGTAGAACTTGTCCTGATGTCTATTGGGAAGGACTTGGGTACTGGGTTATTAGGTTAAAGGGAGAACTCTAGTCTAGCATCTTGGAGGGAAACCTGTGCTTATTGTCTTTTTGCTTGGTTGTGTAGAAGGAAAGACATTTTAGTCCCTGAGATCTGGCCTGGTAGTTGGAAAAATCCTGTGCAAGTCAGCAGATCCCTTTGAATTCCAGCTCCTGGTCCTGTGAAATGAGATGATAGGTGTAGAAGTACTCTGTTACTATAAAGTGATTTGCAAATGTGAGCTGTCTAGTGCTGGCTGTGTTCGCCTTCTGCTTCTAAATACTTTACAATGTTGGGACTTCCCCTTGGCTGGGAGCTGCTGTTGTGCCAAACCCAGAAGCTTCAAGGCCTGGCCTGTGCCTAGGCATTGCCATCTGGTGGTGAAGCCAAACTTGTTGTGCACCAGGTGGTTTGGGGCTTTCTCATCAGTCAGATGTGATCCTTCCATCATCGACCATTCAGTCAACAAGCATTTATTGATCAATTACCATGTGCCAGGCACTGTGTTAAGCCCTAGAAATATAAATAAAAGCAAAAACACAAAAAAACAGTCCCTGCTCTCAAAGAGCTTATAGACTGATGAGGGAGACATGTAAATAAATGGGGAGGAGGATGGAATAAGCATTTGTTAAGTGCCTGTTCTGTGCCGTGTACTGTGCTAAACACTTGACAAACATCTCATAATCCTCACAACCACCTTGGGAGATAGGTGCTGTTGTTATCCCCATTTTACAGTTGAGGAAACTGAGGCAGATACATTAAGTGACTTGCCCAGAGTCACCCAGTTAATAAGTGTCTGAGGCTGGACTTGAATTCAGGCCTTCCTGACTCCAGTCCCAGAGCTCTGTCTGCTGGACCACCTTGTTGCCTCTAAAGGTACATCTATAAGGGCCATTGCTTAGAGGCTGTTTGTTTCTGCTCCTGCTCCTCAGAGCCCCGGGCATGCCCCTCAGCTGCTTCCTGGGAAATGTATATGCAGAAAGTGTGGATGTTTTGAGAGATGGAACTGGACCCTCAGGTTTACGACTCCGCCTGCTTGCTGCAGGTAAGTGGCCAGATTGGGGGAAGGGATTTTTTTTTTCTTCCTTCTACCCCATCACCCCTAATTAAGTCTTGCTGGGATTCTCATTCTGACTGTGCTTTTCATCTCCTCAAATGCCAGAACATGTAAAAATTACACTTTTTTTAAACTTTCATCTAAGGATAAAAAGAACTTTTCATGGAGCTGATTTAATTTAATGTTAGAAACAAATTCTCTCAGCATTTTTTAAGGCACTTAAGTTTAAGTGACTTGTCCAGGGTCACACAGCTAGTAAGTGTTAAGTGTTTGATCTGAGGCCAGATTTGAACTCAGGTCCTCCTGACTTCAGGGCCAGTGCTCTATCCACTGTGCCACCTAGCTGCCCGCTTTCTCAGCACTTTTCTACAGCGTTTGAGGGTCCCTTCCTTAATGGAGTTTATTATCCAGACGCAAACCCAGATGGAGATAGTCCCCACAGCAGCCCTGCCAGTATGACAGTTCTTTTGAAAAGTGCTAAATGGAAAGCTGTGTGAGCTCTGAGGGGGATACGAAGGGTGATTAGGGTGATGGGGGAGTGTCAGCCTATGCCTTCTCAAAAGGATAGGCGAGAGTTCAGCAAGCACACAGAGTATGAGGAAAGATGGTCCTGGTGAGGGGGATAGTGTGACCAAAGACATGGAGAGGGGAAAGAAGAAGCCCCATTGGAAAGAGCCAGAAGGTAGGCCTGGTGGGCCAGCTAGAGGACAGTTCTGAGGCCAGGCTGCAAACTCTAAGGGGATTGACTTTACTTGGGACCACTGAAGATCTTTTAGCCTAGCATCAGTAACCAAATCTGGGCACTTAGACTTGGCCTTGAAAGTTGCTGCATATATGTCTGGTCAGCTCCTAGAGAGCAAGCAGTGTGTCAGCTAATGACTTGTCAGTGATCTGAGTGCAAGGTCCATTTCTCTTATGGACAGTGCCTAGTCCATCATTATGAATTCGTGTTGAATTGCAAGTTCACCCTTTACTTTGGAAGCATGAGAAAGGGACAGTCCCTGCTACAGGAGCTCAGTCACACACACCATATATGCAGGCATCTCTAAATAGACTGTTTCTTGAGACTGTATGCCAGAACTTGATAGGCCTCTAGGGGGTGAGAAATGTTGATTGCCCTCTCTTCCCTATCTTTATTTTACAAGGATAGCTTAGGATTGCCCTTTCATTGAGGAAGTCAGGAAAGGTTCTTGAGGTACTCACTGGAGGAAGCTTAGTAAGCAAAAAAGAGGCCCTTGAATCTTTTTTTATTTAGCACATGCACATCCATTTCTGAGGCCTTAGCCTTTGGAACACTCAATCTAAAATGCCGTCTGCATACATGCATATCACATCACTTTGTCTCTGCTAATTAATTTCTTACTTTAAGTAGCTCTTAAGGTTATTCCTCTCCTAAGGGAACATCAGAAACAAGGTAATAGACTGGGAAGTGCATTGGTTCAGAATTTTAAAAATTGGGTTTGGATTCTGGCTTCCCAACTAATTATGTTCTCAGGCAGATCACTTAACCTTCACTCCTCAGTAAAATAAAGACGTTGAATTTGATCATCTCTGCGTGTTCTTATACCTCTGCAAGTCTTGTGATCCTAAGATAGGATCTCAGCTAGCAATGCTACTTAAAGAGAAATATTCTAAGAGAGCTACATTTCTTTCTCTCCCTCTCTCTGTTCTCTCTTTCTCCTAACCCCCTTCTTTCTTTTTCTCCCTCTCCTCTGTCCCTCTTCTGTCTCCCTCTTCTCAAATCGATGTGTAGTGGCTAGGTCAGTGAACTTTGATCTAGAAAGTTACGGGGTCAGTTGGTAAGTAGGGCCATCATATGGAAGTAGATTGGCAAATCCCCATCTAGGAATAATAGAGTTAATTTGATCATGGTTCTAGAACTAAAGAAGTGGGGATTGGGGGGAGGGAGGGAGAGCCAGAGAGTAAGGGGTGAAGCATGACTATAGGTACAAAAAAATCGTTCAGAATCTGATTACAGATCATCCATTCACCAGTAATTGGAACTGGACTGTTTGTAGTTCTGCTTTTTTTTATTAGCAAAAACATTAAGGAATCCCAAGTTTTTTCACCGGTCACTTTTCCCATGATAACCTTTTGGATCAAACAGCTCACAAGTAGCTTTAGAGCTTGCTGCCCAGTTGTGTGTTGAGAAGAAAAACCCCAGATGGGTGAAAAGAAAGGCACTGGGACTGAAAAGCAGCTGTGTTGAGGTCCATATCTGAGCCTGGACCCTGTGTAGAGGAGCTTTTTTGCAGCAAAGCTTTTGAGTTGTACTCAGTACTTCAATTTGTGCACTTGGTATTAGGTAGTGGGTGATAAATTTTAACTCAAATTATTATTGCTCTTATGTGTTGATAACATCAATGTCACTTTCCAAATCACTAGTTTAAACATTGCTTTGTGTGAGGTTTGGTTTCATTTCGGACATTCAGTATCTAGGTGAAAAATACATAGAGCTCGGGAGATAAGTCTCAGTCTCTAAGTTGTGATATCTTAAATCTTTTTTCTCTTTGTGGGACCTTGGACCCTTTAGATTATTTGGGAAACTTGATAGTTGAGCATTTCAGGTCTTAAGTCACAGAAAAACTGATGAGATAAGGAATGTGAAAGAATGTGAAAATGCTTTGAAAATTGTAAAGCATTATAGAAATGTCAGGGATTTTTTTTTTAATTTCAGTATTTCTGGGATCCATTATTTAATCCTAACCTTTTTTGTGATTAATCTTTTTTGATCAGCAAAAAATTTTGAGCAGGTACCCCAATATGTGAATTGGGATGTGTTCCTATTTATAAATTATCTGGATGTATTACTGTGCTCCTAATGGTGTACATTACAAAACTTACACAAAATAGATGTTTTAAAGGGCTGGGGTTAAGAGGAAATAATATATATCCTAGAGTCAGTAGGGAGCCCCTAGAGTTTGAAAGGGTAAATGACATGATCAGACCTGAGCTTTAGGGAAATTATTTGGTCAGCTTTTTAGAGGACAGGTAGTATGGAGAGACTTGAGGTTGTGAGATTGCTGTGGGCTGGACCTGACACAGTTGACTCACTGGTAATTTGGGTCCAGTGTTGACTCAAAATGAAATACTCATAGGTCATTAAATATGAACAAAAGGAGATTGATTAACTTAAGTCATAGCAGGAGAAAGATGTTCACCTGAGTACAGCTGTCTGAATTGCCAATGGTGGTCCATCAGGCAAGCATCAAGAGACTTAGCTACAAATCAATACCCAGAGCCTTTAGTCCCCTGGGCCAGACTAAGTTTTGAGGATGGTTTCAGTACCTTTGAAGGAAAAGAACTAGCCCAGCCCACATGTTGGATGAGGGAGTTCTGGTAGCTATTCCTTCTACTACAAACATGATAAGGGTCAGGAGTTAAAGTTAAAATTTTCCCAATGACACCTGTGAAGCTGTAGAGTAGCATTTAATTTGAGTTATAATTGTCCAGAGGTGCCAATACCTGGCTCCAAAGTGTAGAGGACACGAATTTGCATGGCTGAGGGTGGGGCCAGTATAAGGGATAATTGGGGGGGAAAGAGTAGATGTGGTTATGTTAGATATGCAGTCCCAGGATTCGGAGAGGGTGGTGCCCCACTTAAGACACATGACGGGCCCTCTGTACCTTTGTAAATTGCTGTGGCCAAAGTAATTCATCCCCTTCCAGCATTTAACCAGCGTAGTCCTTGGATAACAGGCATACAATCTATCTATTCCTGTAGTCAAAGCCTTCACAGCTTTGAAGAACCTGCCATAGCTTGCTCTGTGCTGGCCCAGCCTTTTGGAATCCAGTTCACCTTCATGCCACAGTGAGACATCAGAGTAAGACCTTAATGAGGGATTTGTTAGTATTGCTAATAATGGTACCACAACCACAATAATATTAGGAGTTCAAATTCTAATCCTCCTTTTGACTTTGTTTCTTTTCATTTCAGGCAAGTCATTTCAAGTCTCTGTTTTCTAACCCATAAAATGGTGTTATTTTTTTTTAAACATTTGAGTTTTCCTATTGAAATTCTTACCAACTTGTCAGAGGCTGGAAAACTTGTACACAGAGAAGAGACCTGTAGTAGACAGACAGACAGACAGACAGACAAAGAAAGAAAGAAAAAGAAAAAAGGAAGGAAGGGAGACAATAGACAATGAGAATAAATAGTAAAAATCAAATATAATTTATGCTTACATTTATATTATAATTTTATGGTAATATACTTTCTATATACAAGAAACAAAAGGAGAATTGCTTGTGAAGCTGTGAATCTCAATTATGTACAACTTTCATTTTTAAAAAGTATACAGTTTAACATAATTTTAATACTGTCTTGCTGGTCTGTCTGAGCTTCCTTCTACACTCTTGTTTTTTTTTTCACCAAATGTATTCTTGTCTTTTTTTTTTAATTTTGAGTTCTGAATTCTCTTCCTTCCCCACCTATTGAGAAGGTAAGAAATATTATATCCATTATACATGAAAAACAGTGCAAAACTTTTTCATGTTAGGCTTATTGCCCAAAAAAAGGCAGGAAAAATAAAGTGAAAAATTATGCTTCAATTTGAACTCAGACTTCATCAGTTCTCTTTTCTGTAAGTGGGTAGCATTTTTCATCATCAGTCCTTCAGAATTGTCTTGGATTATTGTATTGATCAGAATAGCTATGTCATTCACAATTGATCATCATACAGTATTTCTGTTACTATGTATAACATTTTCCTCACTCTGTTTATTTCACTTTACATCAGTTCATTTAAGTCTTCCCATGGTTTTCTTAAACCATCCACCTCATCGTTTCTTATAATGCAGTAATATTCCATCGCAATCATATACCATAACTTGTTCAGCCATTGCCCAATTGGTGGACATTCCCTCAGTTTCCAGTTCTTTGCCACTACATAAACAATTGCTATCGATATTTTTTGCACAAATAAGTCCTTTTCTTTGATCTCTTTGTAGTATATGCCTAATGAGTAGTGGTATTGTTGGGTCAAAGG